GTTAAGTGGTATTAAAACAATAATACATTTAGAAGAGGTAAGAGTCAGCATTTATATTTATCATGAGCATTTTCATCCTGCTAATTTATAATCGTAGTTACTGAATCAAAATCACCTTTTGGGGGAGACATAGGTTCATGACATGCTACTGACAGGTGTTTTCTCCGTAGACAGCTTATCTCCTGCACTTGACCCTTCTGACTTGATCCTGACTCGGGGAACTTTGGATGAAGAGGATGAAGAAGCAGACAGTGATACTGATGATATTGATCACAGAGGTGAGAGGTGGCTGAGGTGGCTCATGAGAAGAGAGTAGCTGCTTATCCCCACATTGTTTGCTTAGGAGCTTTCTTGTTGAGAGAAACCATATAGATGCAGCCAGAGTGATAGGGGAGAGAAAGATGGCACCCAATACAGCAGTGGGAAAGAGTTCCATATATTGAGTTCCTGGCCTTTCTACTGAATGGTTAATATTGAGCTCATTACAGGCTTTTTGTTAGTCTCTTGTCTTCTCATCTTTAGGTCCTAACTCAATTTGAGAAATCCAGGATTTTTGTTTCGTGTAATTACTGTTTTAAAAATACATGAGGTGGGGGGCGGTGAAGAATGCATAAGGAGGCCTCAGCAGACCGAAACCAGTTAGAAGGGACTGTAACACTGAGGATAGAATGGCTCTGGAAACCCAGAAGGGTTCCACCTGGCATGGTTTTATGTACTGTGAACAGAATCTGTTTCTTGAAACAACGCTTTTTGGTTCTAGCTATGACCGAGAGCAAACCTCTCTTTACCATCCAGTGTGCCGGATGCTAACATCTAAACTGCCTCATTGACTCAGATTTATTGAGGTATAATTTACAAACAGTAAAGCTCACCCCCCCCCTTTTTTTTTTTTTAAAGATTTTTATTTATTTGACAGAGACACAGCGAGAGAGGGAACATAGCAAGAGAGGGAGTGGAAGAGGGAGAAGCAGGCTTCCTGCTGAGCAGGGAGTGTGATGTGGGGCTCGATCCCAGGACTCTGGGATCATGACCTGAGCCGAAGGCAGACGCTTAACGACTGAGCCACCCAGGTGCCCCTAGTTTGATGAGTTTTAACAAATATATGTGCACTTGTAACAGTCATCATAGTCAAGTTCCTCATGCTTGTTTTTATTTAGTCCCCTTCCTGCACACTTAGTTTTTGGCAATCACTAATCTGATTTCTGTTCCTATAATTTTGCTTTTTCCAGAATGTTGTATAATTAGGATCACAGTATTTAGCTTTTTGGATTTGACTTTTTTTCAGTCCGTGTAATGCTTTTGCAATCCATCCATGTATCAGAAGTATGTTCTTTTTATTGAATAATACTCCATGATGTGGCTTTTACCACAAGTTGTTTGTCCATTCATCAGCTGATTGCCATTAGGGTTGTTTCCAGATTTTTAGTTATTATGAGTAAAGTTGCTATATATGTTTTTCTTGGTTAAAAATACCTAGGAGTGGGACCTCATTTTAGTTACTCAATGAGGGAGATATTCTCCACATTTACAGGTGAAAGAAACCGTAAATTTTGGGCAACATGATAAATAGAGCATGCTTCTGGGAGATATTTCCTCATTGTGAGGAGTGAACACGTAGTTTATTAGAAGCAGAGTACTATTTCTGATAGATTGGTGACAGCAGCTCTAATCTGTCTAATGGGAAAGTTAAAAAGACTTGACCTTTTTTTCCTTGTAGTTACGGAGGAAAGCCGTGAAGAGCCAGCATTCCAGAATTTTATGCAAGAATCAATGGCACAGTATTGGAAGAGAAACAACAAGTAGTTTCTAGAAGTCCAGAATTTTGGAACTCTATGAAGGAACTATCCTAACCTCTGATTGGGGGCTACTATTAAGGACAATTTTGTTCAGAGTTAGCAGAGTTTTTCTTATAGGGAAATTTGATTTAGATGCAGCCAGGGATAGAAAACCATTGGACCTGGCAGGTAGATGCAGGTTCCCCTTGGCCTGTCCCTTGGATTTATGCAAGGAAGGATATTCTGACTATTCTTGGATGCTGATATCCCTTCAAACCTAAAGCTTCAAGTTTTATCATTTGAACTCAAGTACTTTTGCTGCTGATGGATGGAACAGCAAGAACTTTTCACTTCAAATCTCTGTCAGGTTGGATCTGTATTCTACTTTCCCAGCATCTTGCCCTTGACCCTGTACCATGAGTTCCCCTCTTTTTAGCCGAAAGGGAGTGGAAACATGAACTTGCCCAGGGTGGCAGTGGAGTCTCCTTGGCAACCAATCAATCTTGGGTACAAAGTGTGGGGGTAACTCACTATAGGACAACAGGTTCATTGAAGAAAGTGAGCAAAACATATGACTAATGAATAAGAATCCTGCTTTGGATGATGACTTGGATAAAGTGTTTTTAATTTTAACTTTGTTGTAAGCCTGCCTGTCATAATTTCAAATAAGAAAATTATGTAATTGCAAGTAGGTTCGCTTCTATTCAACACAGAGGTTTAAAGCCACATGTCCAAACCTGTCTCAGTAAAGAGGGGATGTTTACTAAAGTCTCCCATGTACACATACCAAGTAACCAGGTACAGAGCTAGGCACCGTTTCTATTATACTTTATTATTATTTTTTTCTATTATACTTTAAGGCGAAGTATCCTTTGTGATTTATTCAAAGACCATGGATTTGGGTAAGGTGCACATTCCATATATAATAGCTTTGGGAAGGCAAACCTTCCACATTCTTCACAGTATCTTAAAACATAGTGTATTTCTCTTAAGGAATTTTATCCATGCCTAATCTGTACTCCAATTCAGCAGTTCTCAAGTATGATCACTGGACCAGAAGCATCAGCATGACCTGGAAAATTGTTAAAAACACAACACTTAAGACCTGAATCAGAAACTGGGAGTGGGACCTAGAAATGTTTTAGTAAGTCCATCAGGGAATTCCCATGATGTTAAGTTTGAGAACTGTTCTAGCTAAAATAGCCTGTGATAGTTCCAGGCCAGGAGAATCTCAGGTATCTTAAAATGACCTGCTTTATCAGAGTACCTAACCTTGACCATCTGGTGCCTATTCTCCAATGTAAATATTCTAAAAAGTATTTTATTTTACCATTAAGTATTAATTTCAGTGTTCTGCACCTATAGATTATATACTTATAGATATTAATTTCAATATTCTATACCTAGAAGCCACTAGTCTTAAAAATTTGAACCTGTTCAAGAGGAAACCATCTTACAAAGCAAGACTCTGAACATACTTGGTTTTTCTCCTTAGTGCTTTGAATACTTCCTTAAAAAAAACTTGTCTGGGGGCTTCTGGGTGGCTCAGTCAGTTAAATGTCTGACTCTTGATTTCAGCTCAGGCCTTGGTCTCAGGGTCATGAGTTCAAGCCCCACACTGGGCTCCATGCTGGGCATGGCGCCTACTTAAAAAACAAAACAAAAAAACCCTTGCCTGGCGTATGCCTTAAGCTCCACTCCATAAGGACAGGGACAAAGTCTTCCTCATCTTTGTATCCCTTGCACAAGAACCAGTACAAATAGCTCAATAAATGTTTGCTAACTGAATGAATTAAATACTAGATGACTACTTTATGGAAACTGCCTGATGTCTGCTTTCATAAATAAATGGGAAAATGAAGCTAAGCGTGGAATGGGAGTTCAGAGAAGTGTACTAAGGATTGTGCAATTAGCAAATTTATAAGTTATCAGAGTTTACGTTGTAATCTCATTTTACTGCTATTGCATTTTTTTTTTTTTTTAAGATTTTATTTATTTATTTGACAGAGAGACACAGCGAGAGAGGGAACACAAGCAGGGGGACTGGGAGAGGGGGAAGCAGGCTCCCCGCAGAGCAGGGAGTCCGATGCGGGACTCGATCCCAGGACCCTGGGATCATGACCTGAGCTGAAGGCAGTCGCTTAACCAACTGAGCCACCCAGGCGCCCTGCTATTGCATTTTTAAAAAAAGATTTTATTTATTATTAGGAGTGTGCATGCTTGAGAGGGGGTTGGGGCAGAGGGAGAACCAGACGCCGGGCTTGATCTCACGACCTTGAGATAATGACCTGAGGTGAAGTGAGACGCTTAACCACCTAAGCCACCCAGGCACCCCTGCTTTCACCTTTATTCTCAGTGCCTGGGACATTTAAGTCATTCAATAATGTATTAATTAAAGTTGTGCCTTGATTTTGGTCTCTTAAAAGAATGCTGTAAATTTCAAAAGACTGTATTCTGCACCCAAAAACCAAACTTCAGTATTTAACATGCTGGCATCCACTACCAAGGCATAAAACACACATTTGCTAATTACTCCTATAATTCCAGTGCTAATCATTCACTTGATAAATACTGACTGCAACTATCAGATGCCAAGCAGGGCAGATACTGTGATGGGTAATGATGTAAAGTTGAGGACATGATGTGAAGGAGAAAGAGGTGTACTGTTAGCCTTTTAGAGGCTGCCCAGCCAGCATGAGCACAGTGCAGATGCTGAATTCTGGTACAGGAATGGACTGCTGTCCTCTGATGGCCGAGTAGATGCAACGAATACAGTCAGCACAAGTCTGTCCTTGGGCAGGTCCTCTTTGCTCATTTCCAATGGAGAAAATGAAGGAAACAACTGAAAAAAGGTGCAGGTGAAATATCTTTAAAAATCTGAATGGAGGGGCACCTGGGTGGCCCAGTTGGTTGGGCATCTGCCTTCTGCTCAGGTCATGATCCCAGGGTCCTGGGATTGAGCCCCACATTGGGCTCCTTGCTCAGGGGGGAGCCTGCTTCTCCCTCTGCCTGCCATTCCTGCTTGTGCTCTCTCCCTCTCTTTCTCTCTCTGACAAAATCTTTTTTTTTTTTTTAAAGATTTTATTTATTTATTTGACAGAGAGAGACACAGCAAGAGAGGGAACACAAGCAGGGGGAGTGGGAGAGGGAGAAGCAGGCTTCCCGCAGAGCAGGGAGCCCAATGTGGGACTTGATCCCAGGACCCTGGGATCATGACCTGAGCTGAAGGCAGTCGCTTAACCGACTGAGCCACCCAGGTGCCCTCTCTCTGACAAAATCTTAAAAAAATCTGAATGGAAATAAGAAAATGACAAAAAGGATGGGGGCAGATGGAGTAAGTCTAACAAAGAAGAGGGGCGTGCCTGCCTGCTCAGTTGGTAGAGTACGTGACTCTTGGGGTCGTGAGTTTGAGGGGTAGAGTTTACTTAATAAAAAAGAAGGAAGAAGAAACGATGTGGACAAGATTAGGAGGGCTGTCTGAAGGAGCACCACAGACCCCTGGTTTTGTGAGACATCATGAGCAGCAAAAAATTTAAAAAAGACTACCGATGGATAAGGGGATTCACTATTTCCTGTTAGGTTTTAGTACCAGGTTCCCAAAGATTTGACGCCAAAGTGAAGCAAGTTCAATGAAAAAACTGGCATGTAATATCAGCATATATTTACTTGTGAGTCTTTTCAAGCACAGCTTTGAGGTTTGATAAGAATCTCAATCTGTGGGGCGCCTGGGTGGCTCAGTTGGTTAAGCGACTGCCTTCGGCTCAGGTCATGATCCTGGAGTCCCTGGATCGAGTCCCGCATCGGGCTCCCTGCTCGGCAGGGAGCCTGCTTCTCCCTCTGACCCTCCCCTCTCTCATGTGCTCTATCTCTCTCATTCTGTCTGTCTCAAATAAATAAATAAAATCTTTAAAAAAAAAAAAAAAAGAATCTCAATCTGTATAACATCCCTGCGATATGAGCCAAGCCGTATGATTCTTCTCAGTTGTGCAAAGGTAAAAACATCAGTCAGGGACAGTGCTTTGGTCTCCCGATTACCATCCCAGTATCATGAACTGTCTGTGAAAGGTGGCTTGGTTGTGGAAAAGTACAAAAACTAGCTGTAAAAGTAAAATGCAAACTTGTTTGGTTAAATCCAGCTCCAATGAAATCAGGAAAATCCACTTGTTTACTGAGTCAAATCACCTTTTATGGAAACAAATTTGAATACACCAAGGTTTTATGGTGGGTTTTGTAGGTCTGGAGAGAAAGTCTCCCCTTTTCCTTTTATATTTTCCTCATCCTCTTCTTGCAGCGCTGGTTGAAAACAGGGGAGGATCCCATGAGGCTATCCGTGGAGTGGGAACCATAGCTGCTGTCTGAGTCATCAGGGCTCTGGGGGATCCCAGCTTCACTCATCCCGGACATGGGCTCCTCGAAGACATCGCTGCCCAGCACGCCATGCCCAGAGACGTTGCCTTCTTCGCTCTCCTGAGGCTCCATTTTCACATGGGCCAGATTCCAAAGAGGGGAAGCATTTACCTCCGTGCCTAGCAATGGAAGAGAATACAATCAGTGGTAAGCTAAGGCTGGAACACAGCAGAACAAATATTTTACCCGGGGCAGATTTCTAGCCTTTGAGCTCAGACTTACACTTTGACTCTACTTGGCTGGAGAATATGGTGGTTATTCTCTGTTTCAAAAACTACCAACTCTGAATATTTTCCATTCCACCTCCTCCCCCCTCCTTTACCCCACCTCACCCACCTGCCATTTCTCTTAAACCAGGGAAGTAGAACTACGTAGGTGGGAAGATTCGCTGTCTCATGGCCCAAAGGCAGCCATAACCACAGGCTCTTGTTCAGGGGTTAAGTTTCTTCTTTCCTTCCTTCCTTCTATAAGGCTGTCCTGTTTTCTTGCCTTTTGTTTGGGTCCATGGTCCTCTCTCACGTTAATGAAGTTCATGATCACTACAAAACACTGGCAGCAGTTCCCAGACTGCTGAAAACAGACCTGGCTCCTAAATCTGCAACAATTTCTCTTTGGCCCTCCTGTCTCTGTTCTGGCAGTGCTATTCTGTGGTTATTACTTCTTCCATGGTGAAAGGCTCTCTGCTCAACACTTTAAAAAATGTGGCCTAATTCTGTTTAGGATTTGTTACTTGTATCATTTGTGCATTGATGAAATGACAATTTATATTGGAGTAGAACTGAGTATCTAGACTAATTTGCAGTCTGACTTAAGGATCGAGTCAGCCTGGTTCCTAAGGTGATCACAGAGTCTGGAAGAAGAGGCCAGCTGCCTCTGACTAGATAGCCCCCCCCCTTTTTTTTTTAAAGATTTTTATTTATTTATTTGACAGAGAGAGAGATAGCGAGAGCAGGAACACAAGCAGGGGGAGTGGGAGAGGGAGAAGCAGGCTTCCCGCTGAGCAGGGAGCCCGATGCAGGGCTCGATCCCAGGACCCTGGGATCATGACCTGAGCCGAAGGCAGACGCTTAACGACTGAGCCACCCAGGCACCCCTAGATAGCCCTTTTTCAGTCCCTTTCAGCTCCAATCTGTTGGGGGCACTCTAGCAAGGAAGCCCAACTATTCAAACAGCCTTGAGCAATTGGCCTTCCTCCATCTATCTGGAAGTTGTCTTACAGGCATCAGGAAAGACAAATACAGCATACTAAGGGACGAGGGGGACATCTGCCCATCCAGCTCGGTCAGCTACATTGGCTCCAGTACTCAACAGCAGAGTTGAGTGCACCTACATCCTAACTAGGAATTATTTTAAAAGAATGTAAAGTTGTGCTAGTCCTCCCTTCACTAATTTCAAAGAGAAGAATGTTGATAGATCTACATCAGTGAGGCTATATGTTTTTAGACTTTCCATTCTCTTGCCCACCCCCACTTTTTTCTCTCATCTCCAGAGTTTGATTCCAAAATGCAAAAAGTGCTGAATCAGATTGGCAGATCTCCCAGAATCAGAGTCAGTTGATTTCTCTTACTTGAAGCCTGTGGCGAAGCCTCAACCTCCAGGTTAGATGGGAAGCGCTCGCTCTGAGCCCCGAGGACCCCCATGGGCAGTGACTGGTCTCCAGAAGCAAGGTCAGCCTCCAGTTCCTCACTGACAGGGAAGGTGATGTCGCTCACAGGTTCTTCCTTGATCTTTACAGGTTTAGTGTCCTCTGTGGCCTTCTCAGGATTGACAATCCTTTCATACTCCTCAGAGAGTTGCTTACTAATCTGTTGGCAAGCAAGAGTCAGTTTTTCAAAGGAATGTTAAAAGCAAGGTGGATGGTCAGCTTGTGGTATCCCATGGAAAAGCCAACATAATATGAATATGCATAAAGCAACCACTGCCAATGGAAAGAATTTTTTTTTTTTTACTTTTTTTCAAGCATCGTAGACACATGGAAGGATTCATTTAAGGTGTTGAGTTTGCATTTGTCAATGACAGAAACACGTAACGAAAAGTCATCTTGTATAAAAGTGTCTGTGTATCATTAATTAAAAGTTACATAAAGGTAAAAGAGACTTTGTTAAAGATAAATCAGAATGGGGACAAAAGATTACATTTTTTGGGGCGCCTGGGTGGCTCAGTCGTTAAGTGTCTGCCTTCAGCTCAGGTCATGATCCCAGGGTTCTGGGATCGAGCCCCGCATCAGGCTCCCTGCTCTGCGGGAAGCCTGCTTTCCCTCTCCTGCTCCCCCTGCTTGTGTTCCCTCTCATGCTGTGTCTCTCTCTGTCAAATAAATAAATAAAATCTGTTTTTTTTTTTTTGAAGATTTTATTTATTTATTTGACAGAGACAGAGACAGCGAGAGCAGGAACACAAGCAGGGGGAGTGGGAGAGGGAGAAGCAGGCTTCTTGCCGAGCCGGGAGCCTGATGTGGGACTCGATCCCAGGACCCCGGGATCATGACCTGAGCCGAAGGCAGTCGCTTAACCAACTGAGCCACCCAGGCGCCCTAAATAAATAAAATCTTAAAAAAAAAAAAAAAAGCAGTCAAAACTTGCTTAAAAAAAAAAAGATTACATTTTTTGGCTGTAAAGACTAACAGTTGACATAGGTACCTTACATGGATAATGAAGGGTGTAGGAAATCCGGATCACTTAGCAAAGACTTTTTTGTGGGGTGTTAAAAATTCCTTATCATATTTACATTTGGGGAAACCAAAACAATGAACAAATGACTTACTTAAGGTCACAAGGGTTGAAGAGATTAGATATTTCTGGCTGTAACCAAAAATGGTATCTCTACCCCTTACTCCACCCCTGGGCAGTATCACCTCATTCTGTTTGGTTTTGCTTTTCATGGCACTTGACACTATCCAGAATTGTTTTGATCATTATTTGTTTTGTTTCCCTCGCAAGAATGCAAGCCCCAGGATCTTGTCTTATTAACCGCTGTCTCCCACAGTGCCTGACTCACAGTAGGCACTCAATAAGTATTTGTTGAAAAAAGCATGCTAACCACATTCTCTCTGACTCCATATTCCTATCTATAATTTCTTCCAGCAGAAGTGTTATCAATAAATGCAGCCACTCATTGACTAAAGGAGGCCCTAGGGTCCGGCCAGGTCAGTGATGAAGCCAGTGGAACACAGCCAGGGCCATGAGGAGAGCAGATCAAGTCCACTCTCTTCCAAGACCCCATGCTCTGTTCTCTAGGGCAAGTGTGGGATCCAGCTGAACACCCCTGGATTACACATCTTTACCCGATTCTCCCAGGGTGACCTCACCTGTAGCATGTAACTGTGATAGTCCTTGATGCGGTGCTGCCAGAACTTCTGGAGGGAGAGCACGCTGCCAATGCCCACCTCGTGGAATACTTGCTCCATAACGTCAGGGAAAGGAGTCTGCCCGAGCCGGGCTTCTCGATCCACAGTGAAGCGCAGCAACTTGGTGAATTTAAGGCAATACTCATGTGCGACATCAGTGAGGGTCTCCAGGACACTTTCGTTAGCACACTCAAAGCCCGCGTGGGCCAGGATTGTGGCCACTGCCTGGTAGAGGAGCTGCCGGCAGGAGTGCCAGCTGAGTTCAGTCACAGGTTCCCCCCTCCCGCTGAAAGGGGAGACATGGCAGGGTTATTAGTGCTCTTGTGAAGGGGTGACCCGTCCTGTCTCCCTAGGAGTTTTACAATTTCAGTCAAACCACTGGCTCAGCTTTCTAGGGGAATTCTCTGCAGTTACAGAGCCCTGTTTCATCTTGCTGCTGCCAGGGCATGTCTCAACAACCCACAGTCACCTCTGAGCTCCTCCAATTACATGAAGACTTCATAGGCAATACATATCTACAATAAACAATATAAAAGTATCAGGTGAATAGGAAGTTTTCTTTTACCAACTGCTCAATTTTCATCACTTTTAGGATACAATAAAATGTAACAGGATAGCTCAGGTACAGCTCAAGAGTGCTCTAATTATTTCACCACAACATAGTTTCCTCATATGCTGGATGATATTTGGAGTTTAGAAATTCGAAGTCCCAATTAGGAGATTCTTATACAACTACAACAGACCATTTGTAAAACTGGGAAAGCAACTTGATTTTAAGAAAGCAATTTAAAATATTTATTTTTTAAGATTTTATTTATTTATTTGACAGAGCACAAGGAGGCAGAGCGGCAGGCAGAGGGAGAGGGAGAAGCAGGCTCCCTGCTGAGCAGAGAGCCCGATACGGGGCTTGATGCCAGAACCTGGGATCATGACCTGAGCCGAAGGCAGACGCTTAACTGACTGAGCCACCCGAGCCACCCAGGCGCCCCAAAATATATACAGTTTACAAATCATTTTTATCCTATCCTATGCAAAGAAATGGGTAGTAGGTCCATACTATGATTCCCATTTGGCAGGTTTGAGAAACTGAGGTTTAGAGGCACTGACCTGCCAGAAGCTGTTTTGGTATTATCAGAAGGTGGAGCTTCTGACTTCAGATTGCATGTTCTTCATAATATACCATTTTGCCCCTAATCACTGCTGTAGAAATCTTAATCTAAGAAAAAATTTCAAAAAGCTGTCTGATCTCCTAAAAATAACTTTTAACAAACTTCTAATTATGAAAATTCCTATTTTCTGCCTCCCTCTGATGAGGACGTAAATGGATTAAATTAGAAGTTGATGCAAAACTATAAAATGCTAAATAACAGCATCAATTTAACATGATGGACAATATTATTTTGTTAAAACTAAATTGCCTTCAAAATGTAAATATGATCGGAGGGGTAGACGAACCATGAGAGACGATGGACTCTGAAAAACAAACTGAGGGTTCTAGAGGGGAGGGGGGTGGGAGGATGGGTTAGCCTGGTGGTGGGTATTGAGGAGGGCACATTCTGCATGGAGCACTGGGTGTTATGCACAAACAATGAATCATGGAACACTACATCTAGAACTAATGATGTAATGTATGGGGATTAACATAAGAATAACAAAAAATGTAAATATGGTACTATCAGTATGGAACAAGTTTTTTGAAGTTGGCCCTATCTGTACGAACATGTGCCAAGCATGCAATGATACAGTTTATCCCTGCCTTTTTCACTATTCCAAGGACTTCAGAACCTTCAATTATACAGTGCACCAGGACATCATCTGGCCTTCATTTGGCCCAACTGCAACCCTTACATATTAAGTCCATTTCTGTTCTTTTCTCATTAATTTGGGACAGTTCAAATAGTAGTAACTATTATCATCAATAGCAGATGCAGTAAGTGTTATACAATATTACTTATGAATTTTTTTTTTTTTTTTGCCAAACATATTTAACCTGAATCTAAACTTGAGGAAATAATCAGCAAATCCAATGAGTGGGACGTTCTACATTCCAAATGACCTGAACTCTTAAAAAAGATTAATTATCATGTTTTTTAAAAAAGGAGGAAGGAGAGTTTTGGTTTAAAATACACTAAACAGAGGCACCTGCATGGCTCAGTTGGTTGAGCTTCCGACTCTTGGTTTCGGCTCAGGTCATGATCTCAGGATTGTTGGACTGACCCAAGTCAGGCTCCTCGCTCAGAGGGGAGTCTGCTCTGGGATTCTCTCTCTCCCACTCCCCTCTGCCCTTCCCCCTGCTTGCACACACTCTTTCTCGCTCTCTCAAATAAATTAATTAATTAAAAAAAAAGACACTAAACAACCAAATGCAATTCATGAATCTTTGTTAGATTCTGCATTAGGGAAAAATATACCTACAAAAGATATTTTGCAGACAACTGGAGAAATCCGAATATGGGGACTTATTAAGTGATATTATTTAATTAGTGTTCATTGTCTTTGGTGTGATAATGGTATTGGGATTATGTAGGGAATGTTTAAGAATTAAGGGGTGAAATACTGGGATGTGTGCAACCTTAAAATATTTGGCAAAAAAAGTGTACATGTATCTGTTTATGTTTGTTATGCATATATTTATGTGTGTATGTGTGTATATACATGCTTATACATATGTAAGAGAAAATAAATGTGGCAAACTGTTAACAATTGGTGAATCCTGGTAAAGAGTATTTGGGAATTTCTTGTACTGTTATTTAAATTTTTCTTTGGTCTGACAAATTGCAAAATGAAAAGAAAAAGTAATTATTTGGCACCAAATGCAAACTTACATACTGAAACCCAATAGAGGCATTAGGTTATAAGGCAGTCATTCAGAAGATATGGAGCAGGCTTCTCAAACTTAAATAGACGTATGAATCTTCTGGAGATCTTGTTAAAATAAAGATTCTGATTCAGCAGGCTGGCTAGAGCCTGCGACTCTGAATTCCTAATAAGTTCCCGGGTGATGTTGATGCTGCTAGTCTCAGATCAGATTTTGAGTAGCAAGGATCAAGAACATTTTTATATTATTTCTTAAGTGATGTTAACAAAATGAAAATATAGTTGAACGCTTGAACTATGTGGGGTTAGGGGTACTGACCCCCTGTGCAGTTGAAAATCCACAAACAGCTTTGACTTCTCCAAACTTAATGACTAAAAGTCTACTTTTTAAAAAAATTTTATTTTATTTTAGGGGTGCCTGGGTGGCTCAGTAGGTTGAGCGTCTGCCTTTGGTTCAGGTCATGATCCCAGAGTCCCAGGATCAAGCCCCTTGTCAGGCTCCCTGCTCAGTGGGGAGTCTACTTCTCCCTCTGACCGTCCTCCCTCTCATGCTCTCTCTCTTTCACTCTCTCTCAAATAAAATCTTTTTTTAAAAAAGTTTATTTTATTTTTTTAGTAATCTCTATACCCAAAATGGAGCTTGAACTCAGGACCCCGAGATCAAGAGTCACATGCTCTTCTGACTGAGCCAGCCAGGTACCCCAATGACTAATAGCCTACTATTGACTGGAAGCCTTAGTGATAACATACACAGTCGATTAACATTTATTTTGTATGTTATATGTATTATATACTATATTCTTATAAAGTAAGCTAGAGGAAAGATGTTAAAATCATAAGGAAAATACATTTACAGTACTGTACTGTAAAAACATCAACATGGGGGCACCTGTGTGGCTCAGTCGTTAGGCATCTGCCTTTGGCTCAGGTCATGATCCCAGGGTCCTGGGATCCAGCCCCACATCGCGCTTCCTGCTCAGCCAGGAGCCTGCTTCTCCCTCTCCCACTCCCCCTGCTTGTGTTCCTTTTCTCGCTGTCTCTCTCCGTCAAATAAATAAATGAAATCTTAAAAAAAACCCAAAACCCAAAAACCAAAAACATCAACATGTAAGTGGACCCACACAGTTTAAACTTATGTTGTTCAAGGGTCAACTGTACATAATTAAAAAATTCTTATATAGAACTTATGGATTCCTAATAATATGAGAATAAGTCCATGAATCTCAATTTGAGGACACTGAGCTAAACCCATAAAATACATTTCAAATTAAACAGAAAGACTATGCTCTGAGGACTGAGGCCATGGCTTATTTTACATACTGGTGTAGTACCTTGCTCCTAGGAAAGTGTTTGGCACGTAATAGGCACTGAGTAAATATTTGCTACATCAAAAATAAAAGGTACACACTCTGGATTTGGAAGATCAGAATTCAAGTCTTAGACTTCCTACTAATTACCTGAGCAACTCTGGCCATGTCAATTACCCTTATCCTCAGTTTCCTCATGGAAATATTATTACATTCTTAACAGTGCTGTTGTGAAGGTTTTTTGAGAAAAGTAAGATATAGCAAAGCCTTGTCTTACCGATAAAAGTCACTCTCTGGGTCACTGTGCCGGATCTGGAATGGTGCATTGGGATTCTTACAATCTAAAGGCAGGAGGTCATCAGGAAGAGGAGGTGACCCCGGGCAAGAGGGAAGAGGTTCACTGTCTTCAGTCTTTACACCTTCTGTCTGTTGCTGACTCTGGGCCTGAGCAGTGGCAATGAGATTACGCAGACGTCGGTTGTGCTGGATCAGCTGGATAGTATGGATGGTGAGGCTGCATGGCTCTGAGGGGATGTCCAACATTGTGGGGGGCTTGGGCTTGTTGGCTGAGGGTTGGTGCAGGGGTGGGTCATGGACTTCTACGAGACGGAACTCCCGTGGGAGCAAATCAAAGGAACTTCTGTTGGTCTGGCTTGATGAGATTGGTATCTCTCCCCAGTATCTCAACATTTTGGAATAAGAAAGGAAGAACTTTCAAGTTAAAAATAGTAGTAAGCTAAAAGCAGTGTTTTTAAATCTCTAGGTTAAAGGCTTCTCTAGTGAAAAATATGAAGTCTAGCCAGTTATTTACATAAAAAGTAGGCTGTTCAAGACCACTCAGAAAACGTCAGTGTCATCAACACTGTAGGACCGAAGACGTTCTCCCTGAAGAAATTAAGAGAAATACAACTGTTAGATGCCAGTCATCCCCAGTCACATACAGTGACAGTTCCTACTGGACTGAACCACAGGTGGAATTTGGATCATTAGTAGACTAATAGCTGCAATAGTATCGGGAGCATTAGTGTCCATGTTTTCCATCTCACCCCACTAACTCATTACTAGAACTATCATCATGCTCAATCCTGAACAATTTGCAAGGCAAGATACTTAAATGAGACCTGGAATATTTCTCAGAGTATCTTGACACATCTGTCCTGACTCAGTAGGAGAAAGGGGAATAGAGTTAAAGATAGGAAGAGGTGGTTCTTATTGTGTGTGTGTGTCAAACACAGGCAACCTTTTCCCTGGTCCTGATGGAAAAATTTCTTTCTTTCTTTCTTTATATTTATTTGACAGAGAGAGACACAGCGAGAGAGGGAACACAAGCAGGGGGAGCGGGAAAGGCAGAAGCAGGCTTCCTGCTGAGCAGGGAGCCCGATGTGGGGCTCGATCCCAGGATGCTGGGATCATGACCTGAGCCGAAGGCAGATGCTTAATGACTAAGCCGCCCAGGCACCCATGATGGAAAAATTTATTGACCAGTAATCTAACTGGTCTTATGCATTCAATTTCTGACACATACAGGGAAGAATCTGAGTGATTTCTGCTGCTTCCTAATTTGTATCCCTTACCTCCAGTGTCTCCTTGTATCTAGTCTATTCTCCAGTGCTGTTAGACTTAATCTTTTAAAAACTCAGATCTAATGGCTTCTCGTTGCCTATTGGAAAAAGTCAGCCAGAATTCTTGGGCCTATCATTCATCAAAATCTGCAATCTGGCTTCAACCCACCTTTCCAGGTTCATTGCCCATATGTCTCTTCAAATGCCAGGCATTACAGAAGGAGACAAAGACCACTGCAAGATCCCTGACCTGAGGTGAGGGAGAGAAATATAAACCACATTTCAGTATGAAAGCATGCAGTAAGGACTGTTCTAGAGACACAGACATGGTGCAGTGGAAGCACAAAGAGGGAGCTTCCTGGAGGAAATCACCACCCTAGTTCTAACAATATACTACACAGTTTCTTGAGAATGTCATGTATTTCCACTTGATCCTTTAAGTTGTGATCTCTGCCAGAAATGCCCTGCTGCCCACCACATCCCTGGTAGACTTGTATTCACTCTGAAGAATAGGTTAAGTCACCAATCTCCATCACCACCCCAGTAAATCTTCATTATATTCTCATAACACTTCCCATGTCTCCACCACAGCGTTTATACCTGGATTTAAACTAGGACTTATCTCAATCGAGTTTATTCTCCCAATCAACCCCCCACAACCATGATCTATGTACCGTGTCTGGCACACAGTGTATCTGGCATTTATTGAGTGCTTACTATGTGCCAGGCTTTGCCTTTATTGTTTAATTCAATTTCCCCAGCTACCCCAGTTTTTAGATGGGGAAGCTGAGGCCCACTGTCTTGCCCAATGTCACAAATGAGGGAGGGAGAAAATCAAGACAGTCAGGCTCCGGAGTCTGTACTCTTAACCACTACACTATGCAGTCTCAATAATCGGTTTCGGAAAAAAACAAAAGGAACAAAGAAACGGATCAACGAAGGGACCAAAAAAAAAAAAAAAAAAAAAAAAAAAAAAAATCACCCTATTCCTTAATTTCACCGAAAAGAGCAAGAAGAATAAGCAGCAAGTTCAAAGAATGCCCAGGCACCGCGGGGTCTCCTCGGTCACGGTCAGCAGGCGCAGGGTCCTGGAGTCACCTGATGCCGGCGGCGGCCGGGAGACGAGGAGGTCTGGGCCTGGACCGCGGCAAGGAAGCGTTACTGTTCACTGCCCCGTCTTAGGAGCTGGGCTGCACGACTGTGTGACTCCGAAAGGCCTGAGGCGAGGGTCGCGCCAGGCCCAGAAGGCTGGCTTGTTGATGAGCGGTCCTAGGCTGCCGGAAGCGCTTCTTCGCAATCGGGCTATGCCACAGGAAGTTATTACAATTCGGTTGCAACCTCTAAAGATGTCCCCGTTCTCACAGCACCTTGGGCACCTTTCTCTGTTTTCCAGTCCCGTGATATTCACCTCTTCGTAACGTTGTGGGTGGTGAAGGAGCAATTCCGCTATCGCTGCCCAGAAAAGCCGCTGGGAGGAAAGAGAGAAGGGGGTGGGGTGGGGGGAACTTAGAGACCGAAGGGGGTGGTTTCCCAGGAACAGATTTCGAGACTGCATCCGACTGAGGATGGCTGATAGTCCCTCTCAGTCCGAGCCTCTGGCTTTGCAAGAGCTCAGTGATGACTTCAAGAAGCCAACCCTGCCGGTGTCCCCAGTTATGCGGAGCAAGGCCCCGACCACCAATCCTTCAAACCCTGAAGAGGTGAAGAAGGAAAGGCCCGCGGCTCTGCTGGAGCCCGATTCCGGGGAACCTGAGGTCCCGCCAGCGCGGCCGGACAGCGGGGGCACCAGGAGTCCACCGGAGGAGCAGCCGCGGCCCCCTACAGCGGCTCCTTCCCTTGGAGGCCCGGCCCGGGCTCCCCCTTACCGAGAGCCGCCGTGGGGTGGCCCCGCGACGGCCCCCTACAGCCTAGAGACACTCAAGGGCGGCACGATCCTTGGCACCCGTAGCTTGAAAGGGACGAGCTGCTGCCTTTTCGGGAGGCTGTCTAGCTGCGACGTGTGCCTGGAGCACCCTTCGGTGTCCCGGTACCACGCCGTGCTGCAGCACCGGGCGTCCGGCCTCGAAGGAGAATGCGACGGCCAGGGGCCGGGCTTCTACCTTTACGATCTGGGAAGCACCCACGGCACTTTTCTTAACAAAACCCGCATCCCACCCCGCACCTATTGTCGCGTCCACGTCGGGCATGTTCTTCGCTTTGGAGGCAGCACCCGGCTCTTTCTTCTTCAGGTAAGTAGAAAAACCTACGATTGCAGCCTCTGGAGTGCACCGGGCTGGGTTCCAGAGCTCCTTAAAGCTTTCACTGAGGAAGGAGATTCTCCCAGTCAGCGATGACAAAAGTGGAGGCGTCTGGGCCCTCTCCAGACCGCTCTACGCATTGCCATACTTCAGAAAGTGAATCCAGCAACCCTGAACTCTGAAAGAATTCTTTCGCTTGGTTCATCAGGGACCAGAGGAAGACCGAGAGGCAGAATCCGAGTTGACGGTAACGCAGCTGAAGGAATTGCGCAAGCAGCAACAAATGCTGTTGGAGAAGAAGATGTTAGGGGAAGACTCCGATGAGGAAGAAGTGGATACCACTGAAAAGAAGAGAAATACTAGTAATCAAGATGATGAAATGGGCTGCACCTGGGGAATGGGTAAGAAATCAAAATTGCTGCCAGAGATTAATATTTTAAATTCATGACTAGGGGTATCCTTAATTGTTTTCTATCATACAGCTTTCATGACTTTTTGAGATAGGTGAGACAAATACAATTTGGACATGAGATTACCAAAACCCACAGAGATTTGTTAACTTTTCTGATGTCAAACAATTGACTTATGGGCACTATGGATTTCTTTTAATGCGTTTTACATCACACTTCCTTGTTCAAAACTCTTCCTCAGCACACAACTAACTTATTATTTTTACCATTTAAATATATATAAATATATACATATAGTACTGACCTTGATTATCATCACTGGAGGGGATGGAGCTATATTCAGTCAAATAACATGGAATGTTCAGTATAGGATAGTCCCTCAATTTTTTTGTACTTTATGTAAATTCCCTGAAATGTGAAATAGCTAATCAGAGAAAGCTTGTCCCTTAGCCAGAGGAATAAATTGAATTTTCCATAATGCCAGACATTTTGGAGGATGGGTATTCAGGATCTAGGAATATAAAAAGAAGATGGCCTTAATATGTTGTTGGGAAGACTGGATAAATATTATGAAATTACTTTTGTAAGTGCAAAACAAAAGCTAGAAACCGTAAGTATGCCAGAGTAAGGGTTCAGAGAAGGGAGTAATCACTGAGGACTTACACCTGCACTGTCCAATATAGTATCCATTACCTACATGTGGTTATTGGACACTTATGGTATGGCTAGTCCAAACTGACTTGTGCTATAAATGTAAAATACACTCTTGATTTCAAAGACTTAGTGTAAAAAAAGAATGTAAAATATTCATAATATTTTTTACTGATTACCTGATAATTTTACCCATTTCTCCTTCTTAATGTGGCTATGAGAAAATGAAAAACTTCTTTTTTAAAGATTTTACTTATTTATTTAGAGAATGGGTGTGAGCAGGGGGAAGGGCAGAGGGAGAGGGAGAGACAGAATCTCAAGCAGACTCTGCACTGAGTGTGTAGTCTGAGGAGGGGTTCGATCCCACAACCCTGAGATCATGACCTGAGCCGAAATCAAGAGTCAGACTGGGCTACCCAGGCACCCTGAAAATGAAAAATGTCATGTATGGCTTTCATTATATTTCTTTTGGGCAACACTGACTTAAAATTTGGGAAAGTTTTTAAATTTACAAACAGGTCTTGAGCTGGAACTTGAAGGAAGGGAAAATTAGCCTCCAGGAAGCTGAGTGTTGAGTATGGTTTTCAGGGCAGAATTGATGATTTTAAGGGAGTAATGAGTAGACCAGTCTATTTGACAGATATGGTAAATATTAAGAAATTATATTGGAGACAGAGTATTAGACCCAGGTGATAGTAGGAATGCCAGGCCAAGAAGCTTAGATTTTTTTCCATGGACAGAGTGGTAGGTAGGTAATTTTGTTTTTAAAATATAGTGATGGGGGTGCCTGGGTGGCTCAGTCGTTAAGCAACTGCTTTTGGCTGAGGTCATGATCCCAGGGTCCTGGGATCGAGCCCTGCATGGGGCTCCCTGCTCAGCGGGAAGCCTGCTTCTCTCTCTGCCACTCCCCCTGCTTGTGTTCCCTCTCTCTCTGTGTCTCTCTCTGTCAAATAAATAAAATCTTTAAAAAAATAAAATAATAAAATAAAATATAATGATGGAGGAAAAAAGCAAAAACAAGGTGCCATGAAAACAAGTTTTAATTTGTCACACAATTTAGAAAAACTCAAGATATTTATACTGGTGATTTTTGTCTTTGCCCCCTTCTCCCCCACCCCCACCTTTCTTTTCATTGATAACTGTATATTTATGCAGGCTGAATGGAAAGTGGGTATCATTAAGACAGTCTCTTCCTATGTCTGTCTTTTCTTTCTTTCCTGTAGGAGAAGATGCTGTAGAAGATGAGGCTGAAGAGAACCCCATTGTCTTAGAGTTTCAGCAGGAAAGGGAGGCTTTTTATATAAAGGATCCAAAAAAGGCTCTCCAAGGTTTTTTTGACCGAGAAGGTATGTAAACAGATTCTGACCCTGCTAGTAAAAGGTATCCATAGCAGTGTTGTTTTGTAGATCTTCAGGGTACTTAGAAATGCTGTATTTTATCTGCTGTTCTCCTTAATCAGTTCTTGCTCTTGTGGTCGATTGCTTCAGGTTTATTTGGAAAATAGTAAAAGTCTTGTTAGTCTTCCCATCTTGGAAAAAAGGGATTGCCCTTTTTTTTTTTTTTTTTTGTGACTTTCTCAAATGATCCTAAACTTGGGTGGTGGGGAGATTGACCTAACTTCTTAAAATTTTTTGTTTCTAATTCATCTGATCTTTTGTAATTCTTAACATGGATGTCCACTTTATATGATTTAAAGAATGTTCCCACAGAGGATTGTTTCAATAGAGGTGCTTTGAGAAAATATCTGTGTGTGTGTATGAATATATATATGAATTGGTTACATTCTGCACTTAATATTTATGCTTCTAAAAACCAGGCAATTGTGACAAATTAACAGCTTACATCTACAACTTAAGTAAGTGTGAAAGCTGCTATGTAGTGGACAAAGCTGTTTTTAGAGAGTTGATTATTTTGATCTGAGTTTGCTTTTCTTTGCCTCAAGTTCATCCTAATTTTTTTTTAAGGATTTATTTATTTATTTTAGAGAGAAAATGAGACAGCAAGCAGGAGGGTCAGAGGGAGAGAGAGATTTCCTGAAGCATACTCCCTGCTGAGCGCAGAGCGCAGCACAGGGCTCTGTCCCAGGACGTTGAGATCATGACCTGAGCCAAAATCAAGAGTTGGCCACTTAATTGACTAAGCCAGCCACCCAGGCTCCCCAAGCTCATCCTAATTTTATTATCAGATGATAATCCGTAGGAATAAGAAGTGGAATGCTTTGAAATTTAGTGTTCAGTGTGGTACGGGAACTTGATACTCTTACTTCACCTTTCCTCTCTTTTCCCTTTGTCTCAACTAGTAGTTTTCAGATGTTATTAAAATTGTTTTGTCTTTCTTCCTCCCACAGGAGAAGAACTAGAATATGAATTTGATGAACAGGGACATAGCACTTGGCTCTGTAGGGTGAGGTATGTTCTAATGTCCATTTCTGAAAAATGGTCAATTTCAGGTTATAGACAACAAACCCAAAGAGTAACTTTAGCCTTATTTTTAGGCTTTTCTTGAATTTGGGCCTTGATAATTTGGCATGTGGGGTGGGATGGGTCAGAGGTCTAAGGAAAAGATTTGAAGTCTGACTTTGGTAAGATAGAACGAGATGAATGGAGAGATTAAAAAGGCATGTCAAAAAATGACTATTATCACAGCATATTAGTTTTTTTCATGAGAATTGGAGCTTAGTACTGTGCTGTGATTCCCTCCAAACCAATACAGATTACCTGTGGATGATTCAACCGGAAAACAACTGGTAGCTGAGGCAATTCATTCAGGAAAGAAAAAAGAAGCAATGATCCAGTGTTCACTGGAAGCTTGTCGAATCCTTGATACTTTGGGATTGCTGCGGCAGGAGGCAGGTATGTGGGAATACTTCTTTTCCTTGGAAGAAAGAAAGAAAAGAGAGGGACGGAGAGAGAGGGGAGAGAGATACAAATAGATGGACAGAGGCAGAAAGAAAAAGAAAGAAGAAAGGAAAATTTAACACAGAAGACAATAAAATATCTCTTTAGGGGGAAAGTGTAAATTGTCTAGAATTCTGTGAAGTGAAAAGAAAAGATTCTGTATCTCAATACCCAAAGGAAGCCATTGTTTATATTCTCCTAAACATTTTTTATGAATATAGATGTGTGTTCAGAACTAGATCCTTTAATAAAAAGCGAACACTCATACACAAATGCATTTACATTACTTATACTCTTTCGTACTTACATTTTTAATGTAAGAATGGATATTATCTATGTGATTGCATTAAATTTATCTCATTTAAAAAACCTGTCTGGTTATATCATCATTTATTAATAAAGGCTTATGCTATATTTTTGTTTATTCTAAAATTAGTTTTTATTATTGCAAAGTAACTTATGTATAGTTTAAAACTACCAAAGGCTTGGGGCACATGGGTGGCTCAGTCATTAAGCGTCTGCCTTCAGCTCAGGTCATGGTCCCGGGGTCCTGGGATTGAGCCCTGCATCGGGTTCCCTGCTTGGCGGGAAGTTTGCTTCTCCCTCTCCCACTCCCCCTGCTTGTGTTCCCTCTCTCACTGTGTCTCTCTCTGTCAAATAAATAAATAAAATCTAAAAATAAAACAAAACAAAACAAAAAAACTACCAAAGGCTTATAACAAAATATACCTATTCATTGCCCTGCCCCTCCTCAGTCTTCAACCTTGGAAGGCTTTTTAACCCTTTCAGTTATTCCTTTTGGCATTTAAAAATATCCATATTTCCAAAAAGGAAGAGTATGCTACTTTATTTTGAGTCATTTATTTTATTTTTGTTAATTTATTTATTTTTATTTAAATTCAATTAATTAACATACAGTGTATTATTAGTTTCAGAGGTAGAGGTCAGTGATCCATCAGTCTTATATAATACCCAGTGCTCATTACATTACGCACCCTCCTTAATGTCCACGCAGTTACCCTATCCCCCCAACCCCCTCCCTCCAGCAACCGTCATTTTGTTTCTTATGATTAAGAGTCTCTTACGGTTTGTCTCCCTCTCTGATTTTGTCGTTTTATTTTTTCCTCTCTTTCCTTATGCTCCTCTGTTTTGTTTCTTAAATTCCACATATGAGTGAGATCATATGATAATTGTCTTTCTCTGATTGACTTATTTTGCTTAGCATAGTACTCTAGTTCCATCCATGTTGTGCAAATAGCAAGATTTTATTTTTGATGGCTGAGTAATATTTCATTGTATATATATCTATATACCACATCTTCTTTATCCATTCATCTGTTGATGTACATCTGGGCTCTTTCCATAGTTTGGCCATTGTAGACATTGCTGCTATAAACATTGGGGTGCAGGTGCCCCTTCGGATCACTACATTTGTATCTTCGGGGTAAATACCCAGTAGTGCAATTGCTGGGTCATAGGGTAGCTCTATTTTCAACTTTTTGAGGAACCTCCACACTGTTTTCCAGGGTGGCTGCACCAGCTTGCATTCCCACCAACAGAGTAAGAGGGTTCCCCTTTCTCTGCATCCTCACCAACATCTGGCATTTCCTGACTTGTTAATTTTGGCCATTCTGACTGGTCTGACTGGTGTATCTCATTGAGGTTTTGATTTGTATTTCCCTGATGCTAAGTGATGTTAAGCATTTTTTCATGTGTCTGTTGACCATTTGTATGTCTTTTTTTTTTTTTTTTAAGATTTTATTTATTTGACAGAGAGAGAGAGCATGCACATAAACAGGGGGAGGGGCAGAGGCAGAAGGAGAAGCACGCTGCCCATTGAGCAGGGAGCCTGACGCAGGGCTCAGTCCCAGGACTCTGGGATCATGACCTGAGCTGAAGGCAGATGCTCGTTCCATTGATCTATATGTCTGTTTTTGTGCCAGTACTGTACTGTCTTGATGACTACCGCTTTGTAATAGAGCTTGAAGTCCAGAATTGTGATACCACCAGCTTTGGTTTTCTTTTTCAACATTTCTCTGGCTATTCAGGGTCTTTTCTGGTTCCATACAAATTTTAGGATTATTTGTTCCAGCCCTGTGAAAAAAGTTGATGGTATTTTGATAGGGATTGTACTGAATGTATAGATTGCTCTAGGTAGCAATATTTATTCTTCCAATTCATGAGCATGAAACGTTTTTCCATTTCTTTGTGTCTTCCTCAATTTCTTTCATGGGTGTTCTATAGTTTTCTGAGTACAGATCCTTTGCCTCTTTGGTTACGTTTATTCCTAGGTATCTTAGATTTTGGGTGCAATTGTATATGGGATCAACTCCTTAATTTCTCTTTCTTCTGTCTCGTTGGTGTATAGAAGTGCAACTGATTTCTGTGCATTGATTTTATATCCTGTGACATTGCTGAATTCCTGTACGAGTTCTAGCAATTTTGGGGTGCAGTCTTTTGGGTTTTCCACATAGAGTATCATGTCATCTGTGAAGAGTGAGAGTTTGACTTGTTCTTTGGTGATGATTCGGGTGCCTTTTATTCTTACTGTTTTCTGATTGCTGAGGTTAGGACTTCTAGTACTATGTTGAACAACAGTGGTGATAGTGGACTTCGCTATCTTGTTTCTGACCTTAGGGAAAAACTCTGAGTTTTTCCCCATTGAGAATGATATTCGCTGTGGGCTTTTCTGTAGATGGCTTTTATGATATTGAGGTATGTTCCCTCTATCTCTACACTGTGAAGAGTTTTAATCAAGAAAGGATGCTGTACTTTGTCAAATGCTTTTTCTGCATCTATTGGGAGGATCATATGGTTCTTGTCCTTTTATTTATGTAGTGTATCACATTGATTGATTTGTGGATGATGAACCACCCTTGCAGTCCAGGAATAAATCCCACTTGGTCGTGGTGAATAATCCTTTTAATGTACTGTTGGATGCTATTGGCTAGTATCTTGGTGAGAATTTTTGCATCCATGTTCATCAGGGATATTGGTCTGTAATTATCTTTTTTGGTGGGATCTTTGTCTGGTTTGGGGATCAAGGTAGTGCTGGCCTCATAGACAGAGTTTGGAAATTTTCCTTTCATTTCTATTTTTTGAAATCACTTGAGAAGAGTAAGTATTAATTCTTCTTTAAATGTTTGGTAGAATTCCTCTGGGAAGCCATCCGGTCCTGGACTCTTGTTTCTTAGATTTTTGATTGCAGCTTCAGTTTCCTTGCTGGTTATGGGTCTTTTCAGTTTTTTATTTCTTCCTGTTTCAGTTTTGGTAGTTTAAGAATTAATTAATTAATTAATAGATTTTATTTATCTGAGAGAGAGAGGGAGAACACAGAGGGAGAGTGAGAGGGAGAAGCAGACTCCCTGCTGAGCAGAGAGCCTGACGTAGGACTCAATCCCAGGACCCTGGGATCATGACCCAAGCTGAAGGCAGACCCTTAACCAACTGAGCCACTCAGGTGCCCTCAGTTTTGGTATTTTATACGTCTCTAGGAATGCATCCATTTCTTTCAGATTGCCTAGTTTGTTGGCATATAGTTGCTCATAACATGTTCTTAAAATTGTTCGTATTTCTTTGATGTTGGTTGTGATCTCTCTTCTTTCATTCATGATTTTATTTATTTGGGTCCTTTCTCTTTTCTTTTTGTCAAGTCTGGCCAGGGGTTTATTGATTTTATTAATTCTTTCAAAGAACCAGCTCCTAGTTTTGTTGATCTGTTGATCTGTTCTACTGTTCTTTTGGTTTCTATTTCATTGATTTCTGCTCTAATCTTTATTAATTCTCTTCTCCTGCTGCATTTAGGCTTTATTTGCTGTTCTTTCTCCAGCTCCTTTAGGTGTAAGGTTAGGTTGTATTTCTTGTTTCTTGAGAAAGGTTTGTGTTGCTATATATACTTCCCTCTCAGGACCACCTATGCTGCATCCCAAAGGTTTTGAACAGTTGTATTTTCATTTTCATTTGTTTCCATGAATTTTTAAAATTCTTCTTTAATTCTTTAGTAGGATGCTCTTCAGCCTCCATGTATTTGAGTTCTTTCCAGATTTCCTCTTGTGATTGAATTCCAGTTTCAAAGCATTGTGGTCTGAAAATATGCAGGGGATGATCCCAATCTTTTGGTATCATTGAGACCTGATTTGTAACCCAGTATGGATCTATTCTGGAGAAAGTTCCATGTGCACTCAAGAAGAATGTGTGTTCTGTTGCTTTAGGATGGAATGTTCTGAATATATCTGTAAAGTCCATCTGTTCCAGTGTGTCATTCACTTGTTTTCTTGTTGATCTTCTGCTTAGATGATCTGTCCATTGCATTGAGGGGGGTGTTCAAGTCCCCTACTATTATTATATCATTATTATTATTTTTTAAAGATTTTATTTATTTATTTGACAGAGATAGAGAGACAGCAAGAGAGGGAACACAAGCAGGGGGAGTGGGAGAGGGAGAAGCAGGCTTCCCGTGGAGCAGGGAGCCCAGTGCGGAGCTCGATCCCAGGACCCTGGGATCATGACCTGAGCCAAAGGCAGACATCTAACGACAGCCACCCAGGCACCCCTTATTGTATCATCATTGATGTGTTTCTTTAATTTTGTTAATTGGTTTATATAATTGGCTGCTCCCATGTTAGGGGCATAATATTTATAGTTAGATCTTTTTGTTGAATGGATCCTTTAATTATGATATAGTGTCCTTCCTCATCTCCAATTACAGTCTTTAGTTTAATGTCTAATTTGTCTGATATAAGGATTGCCACCCCAGCTTTCTTTTGATGTCCATTAGCATGATAAATGGTTTTATACCCCCCCACTTTATTTATTTATTTTAAAGATTTATTTATTTGTCAGATAGAGCAAGAGAGCAGAAGCAGAGGGAGTGGCAGACAGAGGAAGAGGGAGAAGTAGGCTCTCCGCTGAGCAAAGAGCCCAGTGTGGGACTCGATCCCAGGACCCTGGGATCA